CCCCTCTCCCCCCGCACCTTATTGCAAGGCTTCCATAAGTCTCTGGATAGAGGAGTAGGCTGTGATCATTTCCGTATTCCTCACTCAAGCAGGAGACCAACAAACTGCATGACTGATCCCTGAAGCTTCTTCTCTTTGGCCCATCAGCCAGCAGACACACCGTGACATCGCCACGTACAGTGCAGGACCAGCAGTGCATTGTACGCGATGAGGGCCCACCAACAACCATGAGCATCAAAGGCAGGAGGAGAACATTGGAGCCTGACGGAGTGAGGAATAATGCCGACATTACAGCTTATTCCTCTAACAACAGATTTAACTAGCAGTTAGCCAATGCAATGCGGGGTGGGTGGTAGTAAGTTGGGTGGGATGCTGGACAGAGGCAACAGTAATGTCTGGATCCGTCAACAGAGGCAACAGTAATGTCGGGATCCGCTCCGGCTGCGGCAGTCTCATTATACCGCGAGCTGTAGCTCCCTATATACTGAGCTTTGGGTCACGAGAGGACGCTAGTTTATGTCCTCCCGTGACCCTGAGGAGAACTATGGGGAAAAGCCCTGACCCCCATAGTTCTCCTTAGGGTAACGGGAGGACACAAACTAGCGTCCTCTCGTCACCCTAAGCTCAGTATATAGGGAGCTACAGCTCGCGGTATACTGCTCTGGAGCAGTGACTATTTTACAACACACACAGGGACCATGGGGAACAGACGTAGTCCCCCCCTCCAGAAGGAAGGACAGTGTTAGCATCCATTCAGAGCTGATTGGAGGATCTACAGCCCAGTGATACACAAACAAGATACATTGTTGTTCATAGTTCAGGGACTGAAATACATTTATAAGATTTAACTCCGGAGTTTAGTGTCACTATCCTTTAAGGGAAAACACAACAGCCATTGCTAAATGGCTGAATAAATAGTACACTTTCCCCCGTCTCTGTTACCTTTTGTTGTGTTTGATAAAAGGATACAAAAAGTTTAAATTATCATATGGAACTCTGAAACATCAAAAATAATAACAACGGATGGAAATGTCATGAAACGAATCGGCATCTTGTGTAAATAGAACATTAGGGGCTTCATTACATCTTAAAATGCTCGGCACGGTCGGGTCGGCATTGAAGGCTTTTGGAATGAAACAGCAAATCACAATAATTGTGTTTTCAAAGAAGACCTTTGGGCAGCAGAGGAAGGCTTTGATCTTCACATTACCAGATGGGATGTATTTATTAACTCGGAGAAACAGGCAGTTCTAGAAGAAATAGAGTACAGGTGCATTGTATACAACAGAGGCACAAAGGGCCACATACCCTGCTATTTTATACTCCACCACCCTAATAGTCCTCTTCTGTTCAGCTACAGTCCAACAGAGGACTACTGGGGTGGTAGAGGAATAAAGGCCTATTTATAGCCAAATTGCTTACAACATCTCACGGGGTAGAAAGACTCAAATAGGGGTGATAATTCACAGGTTCCCAGCATCATAAAATACATATCCAGCATTAAATAACTTAAGCAGCTTGTCCAATAAAAGATTATACATAAAATCAAATCCAACCCCATCCAGCACTACTACCCCCCCCCCCCCATAAAAACAGTATTTTCTACTTTTTAAAAGCTGCTACCACACAGTATCTCTCTATAGAGCCAATTGTTCAGTCTTCTACGGTCAGGGTTCCACCCAGACTTTACTGGTTTGCAGCATTTTGGCTTGGCTGCCATTTTACTCACCTGTGTTTCCTTCTTTGCCTGGGCAGACTCTGGAACGTTGCAACTCTAGCACCGTCTGGATTCATGGCCCTTGCGTAATGTCATAGCACAATGAAAACCAGACAGGCAAAAGGTGCTAGTTAAAATATTTATTAAGAACAGTGTCCACAGGAGCAACCAGAATCCTAAACCGGAACAAGCCAAGGTCAGGAGCCAGAGATCAGCGTAGTCAGGAACAAGCCAGGAGCAGGAACCAGGAAATCAGCTTTGTCAGGAACAAGCCAGGAGCAGGAGCCAGAGGAGAACGTCAGCCAGGATCGGGTCATACACAGAATCAGGATATACAGCAGAAGGAATGCACTAGCTGGAAGACCACACAAGGGCAAGGTCAGACTGGACTGAGTGGTTTATATACAGTGAGTGGGGTGCCATCATCACTCAGAGACGGGAAACTCCAATCTGGCTCTCTCAGATGATGCTCTCCTGTTTGGCCATAAGGGGGAGCTTGGGAGCAGTGAGCAATGTACCAGAGTCTGCCCGGGCAAAGAAGGAAACACAGGTGATTAAAATGTCAGCCAAGCCAGAATGCTGCAAACCAGTATAGTCATGGTGGGACCCTGACATCTACCAGCTTTGTAAGACTTTTTGAGACCTTAGTGAGGGCAGTTGCCTCCTCAGCTGTGGCATAAATGGCTTTTAGGCGCAAACTGCACCCTTTCGCCCACAATCTGGCTTTCCCATTGTTCCTTTTACACGATTGATGAAGAAGTCTATAAGAGAAGCTCTTATGTTACAATGACCAATGCTTGTTTTTAAAAGGTCATTCACTGCAGAAGTCAGTTTAGATGTTTTTAACTTTCTTGGAGGACCTCAAGGTCCCGTCTTTCTTATGTCACTGACCTGGAACAAATGTGCAGATCAGAAGTCATGATTTCCCTCTGACTTCACTGCATGCATGCTGGTTCCGGGTCAGTGACTCGGAAAGCATTGAAGCCAGAGACTGCAGGGCAGCTGACATTTTCAGAAGGGAGTCAACAATGGGATCCTCTTTATCACTTTCATGACATGTTTCCTGTAGGAACGGCTGCAGATGGGTGAGAACTTTAGGTAGGCTCACAATTTCCTTTGATAATGATCTCAGTGCCAGATGAACCCAATGAATATTATTTCTTCCTCATGCAGTCGGCTCATTGTTTCTAGCAGGAGTTTACTTTTTAAAACATTTTTTGGAGTAGTCATGTGACTATAGCATGTAGACCCTGCTGCTTAGCATGGAGGTAGGAAGAAGTGATTGGAAGGCATTTGTCAACATCCTCTGAACAGAAAAAGGCCAAGTCTACAATGAAGCCTGCGAACATTCCCGCATGTATATCCATTACCTAAAGGGGTGACTTTCTTGCAATTTAACAAATGTACAAATACACCTGAAGGTGTCTACAGACCCTTTAGGTGATTTTTGTCTGCTCTTGTTGGTTGCAGTCAGATCAGTAAATGATCATAGGCACTCCCCAACCTCTCTAGACATCACCTGGCCCCAGGGCCATCTCTTTAATGAGGCATCTCTTTGGGTCACATAGATGGGGGGGTTGCCAGGCAGAGCAAGCAGCATGGCCGCCCATTGTTTGCAGTGTGCCTGCCGCCCCCTTTACGGCCGAAGCATCCCAGGTAAGGGCCATACACATCTCCACGCCCAGCTCTTAGCAACCTGGGATGGTCTTTCAGGCATACCACCGAGCTCCTGGTTACCAGGAGCTTGGCAGGACACCGGCCAGAGCATCCTAGGTTGGTTAGAGCTGGGTGGTGATATGCAAAGCCCTTTCACATCTCCCCACCCGGCTCTTAGGTGGTATCACTGTCTTCCAGCACCCCCCACACACACTGATTGCATAAACCATCCAGCAACCCCTGCTACCCAACCTCAGATGGTCAGAAGGCTAGGGACCCCCCTGCGTGGCGCAATAATTGATTGTCTGAGCTGGGTTTCCCAAATGGT